GTAATTACTTGGTCAGCAGGTAATTGGTGTTGTGAATTGCTGGTAATTACATGGTGTAATTACCAGCTGATTACTTTTTATTTATTATTTATTTATAATTTCTGTTTTTTATTTTTTGTTTTAATTTTTTTAATTCTATTATTTTAAGTCCTTTTTTTTTCTAAAAGTTTATTTTTTATTTTTTATTATTATATTTTATTTTCTTCTCGTTCTCAACCTTACTTCATGTGATTCTATGCAATTTTTTTTATATTATCTATTTCTTTATGCCATGCTTATTTTCTCATTAGCATAATTCTATTAGTATTCTAATTTTTAAATTAAAATAGAATTTATTGTTAAGTAAGGTTATAGACTTACGTTTTTTTTTAAAAATAAATAAATAAATAAATTATATTTATGTATGCTATGTTGAAATTTGCGATAAGAGTATCATGTTAAATTTTTTGTTTTGAATTTATAACCTATGTTATATTTTCAGTTTCATTTGTTTTTGTAATATTGAATTCACATTGCAAGTCAATTTTCAATTAGACCTGATAGATTATCATTTTGTCAAACATTTTAATAATTTATGATATTTTATTTATATAATAATCTTTTTATCAAACATGCATTTCACGATGTTAGTAGAAACTTCATACTTTTAGTTTTTTGATCAATTCAATTGAAATATATTAATTTGAAAAAATATAAATCAATTATTTTTTCATAATATTAGTTAAGAACATATGTTTATTAATTAATATATTTTAAAAAATAATATATATCTTAAATATTTAATTTAATACCATTTATATAGTTTCTTATTTGTCTAGTATAAATTTTAAATAATTAATTTTTATTTTTAAAATTTAATATAATATTATGATTGCTATTGTGCATCCAAACAGAACATGTGTAATTACACTGTGCCAACCAAACATGACATGTGTAATTACAGTGTAATTACGCTATGACAATTAGACAGGTCAGTGTAATTACTAGACTGTATAATTACTAGGCTGGTAATTATTACCCTAGTAATTACACTAATTCCAATTACCAGGTGGCTTTCCAAACAAACCCTAAAAATATTATTATTATAAATCGTATTTAGTTATAAACTCTTTTTTATCCTATTGAAAAGTCAGTAATTGTTTAATTTAACCGAAAGAATGATGAATGATTTAACTATTTTTGTTTCCCAGAAGGACAGTTTGTTGGTCTTAATTTAATATTTTTTACCAGTACTAATTAATTAAATGCTGTAACCCAACACTTGGACACTTTTGACATGTACCAAATCGATAAATTTATAAAATATTGCATCATGATCAGGGGAAAATAAATTACAATGAATTTATTAAAACTAACACCTAAAAATTTAAATAACTTATAGATTACATAGAAAGAATTTTTTATTATTATTTAGCATTGACTCCTGAAGTTGAATTAACTAATCTTGATGCATATATTTAAAATGTGGTCCTGCTGACAAACCTATGTTGGAAAATAAGGTAAAACTTTTGTTTCACCTTTTGCAAAAACTGGAGTTTGATTTTATTTTTTTTCAGGTTCTTGTTAAAAGAATTTGTTTGATGTTATTCATTAAAAAAAACATATAGGAGTAATATTTTTAAAATTTTAATGTGTTGATGGAGGTAATTTTCATACTTAATGAAGGAATCAGATTTGTCTTATTCGCGTATAATAATAAAAATAAATGGACACAACTGATAGGACTCTCCTAATCATTATGTCAAATTACAATAAAAACGAATCTAAAAAACAAACTCCTCGATAGTTCTTCTCCAGTAACACAAAAAAAAAAAAATTCCTGCTTATGACCTCTTAATCAAGTGAAGTTGTTGAGAAGAATTTTCTATAAAACTAGTGAATAATTTTCTATAACATGCATGAGCTTACACTATAACTTTTTTTTAATAATCTAATTTGTATTATTAGCATGTAATTGAACTTCATTTAATTACTTAAATACCACTAACATATTCAACATATATATATCTTTACATATGAAATTCAAAAAGTATAATGTGTATATATATATATGCAAATGATTCTATTCCTACATAGAAGATAGAAAAACTGTTTCCTTTAGATTATGAGCGCGTTTTACTTAATTTTAAAATTCTCCAAAAATCTCATTTTGAAACACATTTTTTTTTTTTCAAAAAGAAAAGAAAACTTGTAAGAAACACCTTAAAGACTTTTAGGAGGCAATTAGTAGTGTTAAGTTTTAAAAAAAGGGAAAAAAGAGATACTAACAAAATAAGACTAACTGGAAAAGCACAAAGAATAATAGTAATTATATTTATAATAATAATAATAAAAAAGTGGGAATAATTGCTAGATTGAGTTGAAGGGAGCAGAAGAGACAAGGAGGACCAGAAGAGCAGGGTAAATGTGTCATTTAATAATTTGTGAAGAAGAAGACAAAGGGCCCACTTAGACCCATATGATCTGGCACCCTCACTAATGCCAGCCTTGCATTTCCCACACATCATTCATGTGGGCTCACTACTATTTTTCTCATCAACCACATGCAATCCCCTTCATAAGGACCCCAATTATAATACTTATTCTATATATCGTTTGATACGCAGAATAAGATGAAGATATTTTTTTGGGTTGTGAAATTCATTTTGTATTCTATTTGATTCATCATAATATCTAAATTTAACTTTGATATTCCATCTTATAATATTAAAGTTGAGATTATTTTTGTTTCATCTCTTTGGTGGAATAAATTTAGAAAAAATTATCTAAATATATAAAAATTTTTTTTATCATAATCCATATCTCCTGTAAGATACATTCCTTCCCTTTCAGATACATCCTTTCTCTATGTATCTAGATGTTCTATCCCCTCTCTAATACATCCCTCTCAATGTGTATTCGAATGTTTATTGATATATCCAGAAGTCCAGTGATGCATCTGAAATCTATAAATTTTAAGGAATTTTTGTAATTTGGAAAAGAATAAGAAAATAATATAATTAGCTCTTAACACTATGAGATTTATGTAAATTATACATAAATTAATCCAAAGATGGTAATTTCAAAAATTAAGTCAATATGCAAACCAAACGACTTTTAAAGTAATAAATATTCGATGAAATAACTGAAATAACACGTTGAAAAAACTAACATGGCTAGCATTATTAACAAAAAAACAAAAAATAAAGAGGACAAAACTAGTCATAACGAGTTAAATTTCATGTCTGAAATTCATTGACTCGATTAGTTAATTTAGAGTCATTTGTAACATTGAAAATTTACTATGACTTGAGATTTTTGATTAAAGGTAAAGATGGAGGGTAATTTTTTTCTAAAATAGATGTAATTGAATTTCTTAACAATATTATTATGACGAAAAATAAATGCGTTGTTCACTTATAGAGTTTATACTAAGTCAATAAAAAATCATTTGATTCAAAATAAAATTATCTCAAATTTTATATGAGATAGATAATAAAAATCGAAGATCCTGAATTTAGTTAATACCCACAGCAAACACCTAATTCATGTAACAAAATGTCTCCTAAATGTATAGTCGTTTTCACCTACAATTTTTTCTCACTTTAATCAGGTATCATTTGTTTGTATTCTCACATAGAGTATTACTTAATTTTTAGCTTATGCCAAAATTAATATGCTTAGATGTAATAATAAATCTGAATAATTATTTACCATTAAGCTATCCTCTTAGAATAAAATGGTTATTTTTTAGTTTTGCTCACTTTAACTCTTTTAATATTTCAAAAATAAATTCACACATCACTTTAACATATTAAAAAAACAACAATTATTTTCCTCTTATTTTATCATTAACATTAATTACCCATTCTCCCGTTTATTTTCTAAGAGTATATCAATTCATTTTTATTTTTTATATATTAGTTTTCTACCCAGTATTCGGAGTTCACATTGGAGCTCCAACTAAATTTGAATCGCACATTGCAGAATCCATTTGAGGATAACACTTCTAACATAATTTTCTTCATACTTCATACGAGATTCAAAATGAACGAGTAAAAATGAACGAAACCAGTAATTTTGTGAAGGAGAGGAGTTAGGAACCTATTAATTGCTTAGTATTATGACCAAAAGTCATGCGTCTATATTACTGTAGCTGTAGTAGTTACACAGTCAATGCCTCGTACTACTCTCCAGCCGTTTGTTGTTCTGTTGATTGAGTGTCGGCAATGTCCGTTAGAAAAATAAAAATAAAATTACAGAGTGATTAATGACTAATAATTACGTTAATTAAATATTAATTATTCTGTACGTTTTTTCTTTTCCATTATTTGCATATAAGACGATATATACAAAAATGAACCCAATTAAATTGTTCACATTCATTCTGTTTTATTTTATTAGTGTTAATAAATAATAATAATATTATGTGTAGATGAAGAGCTGTCTTTTTCTAATTCTTCGCTGTCCCTTTCTCTTACCATCCGTTTTTTCTTTTTTCTATTGGTAGCCTTAGTAATACATTAGTAGTTCCAATTTAATTTAGCGAGTTAAGTGTCAAAAACAAATTTAAACTATTTTTAAAAAAGTTTTATATCTAAATTATTGAGAGTGTGAATTTCATACCTAAAATATTTGTCTGTCATAATTTATTTGTCTTAATTATTTTTTAATTTTCCATGTAATATATTTTTAACTCGACGTGGTTAAAGATTGTTAGGCCATGGTATTTAAAAGTCGTTATTTTTTTCTTAAATTTTGAGTTTGTTTGGACTGATTTTTGGCTTATGACTTATAAGCTAAAAATCTTAAATTAGAAATTTCACCTTCTGATTTATTTATTTATTTTCATTATTTTGACTTAAAAACAGGTGCTTATAAGTATTTTTTTTATTCAAACGCTTCAAAGTTGATTAAAAGATATTTTGGTTTAAAACCCTCTAAAATAAGTTGATCTAAATAGGGTTTTAGTATCGAGTTAAAATTAGACAAATAAATTGAGACGGAGGGATTATATATATTTTTTTCTCCTTAATTGCCACTCTCTCATCTATCATACAATTACAAACACCCTCTTCTCTTCTCTTCTCTACCTTCCCTTCTACATCCTCCCTCTTCTCATTTTGGTTATGAAAGTTTTAAGCTTTTTTGGAGAAGAGGGGGTGGGTGGTTCAAGATTTGTGAATGTCACTATGTCAGAGAAGAACACAATCATGAAGAGGCTAGTAAGTACGTTGGTTTATTTTATTTTTTTTCATTTTTGTGTTCTTGTTTTTTTAAACTGAGGGTGTCTTGTTATTTTGACTAAATCTTGATTTTCATATCTTTAATCTGATATTTTCACTTGAAAAATTAGTGGGTATTTGCTAGATTGTGATATTTGTGGTTAAAAAATGATTCTTGGTTCAATTGGTTTCACTTCTTTTCCTTGTTAGGGGTTGGGGGTGGGGTTGGGGGGTTTAGAACTTAGTATTTGTGCTCTGAATTGGATTTACTAACAGGGTTTTGTAGAGATTTGCTTGATCTCTTGTATTTTCTAACTGGGATGCCTAATGTTTTTGTCTACATTGTATTTTCAAGATAAGGATTTGGTGGATTCAAGATTTGTTTGGATGGTCTTTGCAATCATAAAGTTTTGATTTTTATAGTGAAATTTTGTTTTGTCTTCTAGCACATCAATCCTGGTAGAAGGGATCTGATTGGGAAACTACTAATGGTTTACAATGACTTGATGAAGTGTGATATAAATTATGAAAGCTGACTAAGTTATAAATACACTTTTTCTCTTTTCATTCTCATTTGAATTAACACTTATCAGGTACTGTAATTTCTCAGTGTTTTGTGCTCCAAATGAAGTCTCTATCTATAGGTTACTAATCAAGTTGAGAGCTTTTTCTATAAAAAGGAAAAGAATATCTACTTGTGTTCTTTCTACTGGTGTTTCCTGTTCCTTTGTCACATCAGCTTTTATGTAGTTGGTTCTTCTCAGCATATTTCTGTTTCTCTGTGAGATCTGCAAACAGTGAAAATATGCCAAAATATGTTAAGGTAGAACCGAGACAATGTATCTCAGTGATGCTGATTAGGGAACTTGCAAATATATTAGGCCACGACATAGATTTTATTAGCTTACATGATATTGAAAGTTTAGAAATTCAGTAAAATGCTGGATGATTTACCTTTTCTCTTTGATTTTGTTTCCAGGCAGTGCTACTTTTGCTGTTGGTGTTCAGTCATTGTATAGTACAGAGTGAAGCTCAATTTGAAGGAGAATGCAAGTTCAATAAGCATTTGAAACCCAGACCTCACAGTGTGTCAGTATTGGACTTTGGGGCTGTGGGTGATGGAAAAACTATTAATACTGTCGCGTTTCAGAATGCTATTTTCTATCTCAAGTCCTTTGCTGACAAGGGTGGAGCGCAGCTCTATGTTCCTGCTGGAAAGTGGCTGACTAGAAGCATCAATCTTACTAGCCACCTTACACTGTTCCTGGAAAAAGATGCTGTTATTCTAGCATCTGAGGTTAGCTTCTGAACTTTGTCTTAGTGTCCACGTTGCATTTCTTATCATTTTTTTTTGTGTTTTTAAACAAAAGACTAGCCTAGTTACAATGCTAAAACAGTTTCAGCATCATGTAATAGGGTTGTCAACCATTGGTTTCAAGGATGAGATACATTGGCACTTTGGGATTAGGATCTATGGATTACTATTTCACAAATAAAATGAAATTCTTGACATATACATGGTAACTCCAATATAGAGGTTAACTACATAATATGTTGTCACGACTGCAATAACTTAAATTTTGTTGATGATGGTTTTGATAAGTGCTTCAGTTTTTATCCATAAACTTAGATCTCTAAGCATTTTAATGCATGTCGCGGTTAATATTTTGTGCATTCACTATTCAGGATTTCGATCATTGGGATGTAGTTGAAGCTTTACCATCTTATGGCCGAGGTATTGAGGCACAGTATGGAAGATACCGCAGCTTGATCTCTGGAAATAATTTAACTGATGTTGTAATAACAGGCAAGGAATCCTTCATCGAGTGGTTTATAGTTTTACATTCCTCCTTATTTTACCTTTATGCAACCTGCTTATTTCTTAACAATTCTGCAGGTAACAATGGAACTATCGATGGCCAGGGCTCTATTTGGTGGGAGAAGTTCAATTCCCATTCCTTAAATTATACTCGACCTCACCTAGTAGAGTTTGTTAGCTCCAGAAATGTTGTTATTTCAAACTTGACCTTATTGAATGCTCCTGGTTGGAACATCCGTCCAGCATATTGCAGGTAACTCGATTTATCTGTATAAGGAGTTTAATGTTTCATCTACTTTTGCTTGTTGTAAAATCCGAGTTTATCTAATCCTTGAGAAAATTTTATGTCTTGCAGTAATGTGGTCATTCAGAACTTAACGGTTTATACTCCACAAGACTCCCCGTTCACCAATGGGATTGTCCCAGGTTGGTTAAAAGAAATCATTAATCTTATTTGTTTTAAAATGTCCAAGCTAATTAAAAGCTGTAACCTTAGACCTTCACCAGTTAAATGTTCATAGGTCTTCAAATATATAGCTTTGATTTATCTGACATGCTTCCTCAAGCAAAGGAAAACAACATTTTTAGGATTAAAAATTTAGCTGCTCATAAAGATTAAATGCTAGCTCTCCAAATACTGCTAAAAACTGAGTTCTGATCACACGAGTTTTCTTTAGTATCATAGACACATTTCTCTGGATTTTAGTTGGGCAAAGATGAAGTACTAGCTGTTTTTCCTCCCCTGAGTAAATATTCTTATGATTGGCACATGAGCCCAGAATAGATTTGTCGTTGAGACGATGTGAAATAGTTAGGCCTGATGTTTTGTGAAAACATGTATATTGGTTCCCCTTGTTTTTCTTTTTTTATTCAACAAAAGAAGGATTGGTAACTCTAGACTTGACATGCAACCTTATGTCCACTTTTCAGATTCTTCTGAGCATGTCTGCATTGAAAACAGCAACATTAGCATGGGTTACGATGCTATCGTTCTTAAAAGTGGTTGGGATGAGTATGGGATTTCCTACGGGAAACCTACCTCAAATGTCCACATTAGACGAGTGAGGTTACAGTCCGCTGCAGGTGCTGGTGTGGCTTTGGGTAGTGAGATGTCTGGTGGTATCTCCGATGTGCTAGTAGAGCTTAGTTCCCTACATGACTCCCTTTTCGGTATTGAGCTGAAGACAGCAAGAGGAAGAGGTGGTTTCATCAAAGATATTCTCATTTCAAATATTGTTATGGATAACTTGCAAGTGGGAATCAAGGCCACTGGTTACTCTGATACGCATCCAGATGAGAAATATGATCCTTCTTCGTTACCTACAGTTAGTGGAATCACCTTTGAGGACATTGTTGGTACAAATATCTCGATAGCAGGCAATTTCACCGGGCTATCTGAATCTCCCTTCACTTCTATATGTCTATCAAATATCTCTATCTCCATTTCATCTGACCCTTCTACACCATGGTTATGCTCTAATATATCCGGCTCTTCTAAAAATGTGTCTCCTGAACCATGTCCCGAGCTTCAAGGATCATTTTCCAGTTGCTTTGCTCTTCCAAACCCATACACTGAAGTTGCAGTTTTATAATCCTACCCCGATTGGAACTACTATTCATTCATTAAACCTGAACAACGAGGTACATATCGTGTTCTGGTTCTGGTGTACAATCTTCCAATAAGATGCAAGTCAGAATCTTCGGTCTCATGGTTTACCAAGTCAACGTCAAAAAACTCTGGTGAGCATTCTCTTCAACGCAGCAGCAGATCGTTCCTGTGTACAGCATCAGTTTCTTTTATTCATGTGTAAGAAAAGTTTTGGTAGTTCAGTAAATTCAGATACGTTGTTCCTTCTCGTGTCATTCTTCATTTGATTTTTTCTTTTTACGAAATTGCCTTACATTTGTAAATTGGGTTTATGGAGACTGCAGTAAGATTGGTTAAATGCTTATATGGTTGAAGGGGTGTTATTGTTGATTGTCATTGTTGCAATAAAAGTTCTAGCCATTTCATTTAAACATACAAAGCCTATTCTTCCTTCTTTGGTTAGAGAAACATTTGAAGATCATGAGGAAACAGTTTGTAATGCAGAACAATTTAAGTTTATTTCATTCATTCCTTTGATTTAAGTTGAGGTCCTGTTTGTATCCAGTAAGCTTGTAGGCTTGTAGCCATTGCTGATTGTTGCTCCAAAGGTAATCCAGAAGAATGTTGAAATACTGCAAGCTAACTTGAGAGGAAACATGATTTGAGCACTATTCTCAAACTATACAATGAATTATTGGCAACAGTAATTGTCTATGACCTATAGGTCACAGGTTCGAGAGGCTGTGGAAACAATCATTAATGTTTGCATTATGTTAGACTATCTACATCGTACTCCTACAGGTGTGGCCTTTCCTTGAACCCTGCTAATGTGAAATGCTCTATGCAATGCCCTTTCCTTGAGCACTATTCTGAAACAATACAATGAATTATTGGCAACAGTAAATTGTCTCTATATGATCTATATGTCACAGGTTCGAGTTGTAGAAACAATCACTAATGCTTGCATTAGGTTAGACTGTCCACATCATACTCCTTCAAGTGTGGCCTTTCCTTGAACCCGCTAATGTGAAATGTGATATGCTCTATGCAATGAGCTGCTCTGTGCAACGGCCTTTCCTTGAGCACTATTCTCAAACTATACAATGAATTATTGGCAATGGTAAATTGACTCCATATGACCTATTGGTCACATGTTCGAGACGTGGAAACAGTCACTAATGCTTGCATTCGGTTAGACTGTCTACATCATACTCCTTCAGGTATGACCTTTCCTTGAACCCTGCTAATGTGAAATGCTCTGTACGGCCTCCCCTTGAGCACTATTCTCAAACTATACAATGCATTATTGGCAACAATAAATTATTTCTATATGACCAATAGGTCACAAGTTCGAGTTGAGGAAACAGTCACTAATGCTTGTATTAGGTTAGACCGTCTACATCATATTCCTTTAGGTGTGGCCTTTCCTTGTACTCTGCTAATGTGAGATGCTATGTGCAATGAGCTGCTCTTAACATCGACAAAATATCTTAACTTCATACGATACAGGAATTTTAGCAACTTTAGAATCAATAAGAAAATAAATGTACATAATCAAGGTTGATATACACGTCTTTTTTTGGGCATGTTGCCATTAAGGGATTCATCAAAGCAGAAACTAAAATCTGAAAATTTATCAAATTCACTTGTCATGTCTGAAAACAGCTTTTGAAGTTCCTCCAATGTGTTTTCTCCCTGTTGCAATTTACAAATTTCAATCACGAACTTATTACAAATACTAAAAAATACATGAAACCAAAAAAAAAAAAAAAGGGTGCTGAAGGTAAATTACCTTAGATTTCTCAGCTTCCATCATTGTTATCATTTCTTGCATAAACTCACAGAATTCCTGTTGTGTTAAAAAGTGAGCAAGTAGAAATGATTACTTTTAAAAAAAATATATAACTGACAAGTAAAAATGAACGGAGAAATTATGATAAAGTCAGAAGAAAATAGAAACGGACTTTATCATCATCAGAATCATCTCCCATGAGGTGAAGCAACCTAGTGTCATATAGTGATCTTTTCCTCTTGTCTGAGAGAACTGCAAATTGATAGATATATATGGTCAATGCAAACATATATGGTTATATAAAATCGAAGCGGAATCAGAATTTTAATTTGATAGATTAGTAATTCATTAAACCCCTTGCTTATTAATATGCTTTTAATCTTATGTGTCCAAAAAATAGATACATAAGATCTGTTAGGTCAAAACGAACAATAAGCACATGCTATGAGCTATGTGACATGTAAAGTGCATTAATTTGGTGGGGAGGAGGTTAAGAAGGTAAATTCACACACCAGAATAAGCTTCTTGAACTTGTTGAAATCTATGTTTAGCTTCTCCCCTAATGCAAGGATCCTTCTTCATCCATCTATCTGGGTGCCATTTCTTCAATCAACACATAAAATAAATCATAAATCAAAAGCTACAAGTAAAATAAAGCACAACACAAAAAATGAAGCAAAATCTCGTGATCTTAAACAAGTCAGGTAAAATATTAAAGAGTAATCAAATGTAGAAAGAGATATGGGTTCATATATCAGTTCACGAAAACTCAATAGCTTTTATCATGAACCCTTTATATATAGTTTGAAATCATCTAAGTTAGCGTTTAATCATAAATTTGTTGAAATTTGAAAAAAATATGAGTTTTTAAAATTGTGTAAAAAATAATTCTTCAAATTGTACTTGAACATTCACTTTGAATTATATTTTAAATTTTTATAAGTGAAAGTGACTCAAAAATTGGCTTAGGCCAGTTTCTAGAAATTGAATATCCGATCAAATTTCATGTACAAACAATATTTTTAATTACTATTTTTTAAAATCTGCTCCAAAAATCTATGGCAAGGGAACTAAATATCTATAAATATATACTTTTAACACTTGATATCATTATAAAAAATCGTAAACTTTAAATAAAAAATATATATAGACTAAAAAGAAAAATAAGACACGAAAAAGACTACCAGAGCAAGCTTTCTGTAAGCACAACGAATTTCAGAATGTGAGGCTTGTTTACAGATTCCAAGAACATCATAGTAGCAGGAGCCTCCATTATTGTTGGACACAAATTCCATTTTCTTGAACCAAAAAAAAGGGAGAAATTTTATTTTATTTTATTTGGTGAATATAATACTAATATATTGCTCACTTGGTTTTAGCGTACAAGAAAAAGGTTGTTACTTTGTTAAGGTTTTGGTAGGTGCAAGAAATGAATTTAATAATAATCACAAATATCACATGATTCTAGAAGGGAGATTCATTAATAAGAAGGTTCTAGATCTTTATTACTACTTTTAGAAACTGTTTGGATTTCTAGAAGTGTAGTTATACCCACAAATTGTGCAAGTTGAGGAAAATGTGTATGTGGTGTTCCTATGAGGGAGGTTCTATGTGGTCACTGTCTTCCTTCTAGAAATTTCTTGCATCTTATAATCTTTCTTTGTTGATGGGTACGGGTCGTTTGATAGCTAATTAAAGTTACGCAGATATAATAATTGTATATAAGAGAATTTATATATTATTTTATAGAAATATGAGGGATAGCGTTATAGAGTTAGAAAAAAAGACAGTACTTTAGTGGAAAATAGTGAAAGATTGGCTATAGTAAACATAAGGAGAGGTAGATGTAGACAGTAAAAATCTTGAGGAAAGATGATTAGACTTGACATGGCGGCGCACATGTAACTTATCAGAGACGTTTTTAGATAGGAAAATATGGAGATCGAGGATTATGGTAGAAGGTTAGTAGGTTGAGTGTTGTCTAGTGCCATTTTTAGTATTGTTATATTACTTTCTTATTGTCTTATTCTTTGATTTTAGTATTACCTCATGTTTCATTTGCTTCGGTTATCATTTCTTTTCTAGTATCACGACTGTTCTCTTCTTTTTTTGTTTTCAGCATTATTTCTTCACTATTGCATTTGTTTGGCATACTGGTTTTTTATATGCTTTACTTGAATCGAGGATCTATTGGATACAACCTTTGTACCTTCACAAGGTTGGGTTAAGGCTTCACACAAAATACCATCTGCACCCCACTTTTAAAATTACACTTATGTATGTTGTTGTGACTATCTTTCACCAGCACAAATAACAAATAACTCTATCCATAAAAATTGGATGGATGAAAAAATAAACACATAATATTTTTGTTTTCACTATAATTTGAATTGTGACCTCATGAAAAATCCACCTACACACTCCAACTCCTTACTTTTGAATAGTTTTCAACCCACTTCATCGAATCCTGCACCTTACCTTGGGTGTGGCTCAAATATTTATTTCCATTTAGAAAATTGGGATGATTCCCTTCCTTTCTTTTCTTGTCTAAGGATCTCAACTCTTAATCATCTATATTTGGAATACCCTTTTGCCTTCATTGTTTTCATCATTGAACATACCTGGGACAACATTGTTTCCCACTATGTAATCATAATCTGTAACAGCCAGGACATCAATAAAACTAAGAATCAGAGAAAATTAATAGTTTCATAATCAACTTCAGTTTTTTTACTATAAAGCACAACCAAAATAAATTCAATATGTGCAAAATGTACATGTCGAATCCTCAACTGTGACACAAAATGTTATATGGAAGTACAACCTTTGAAGATCTTCACACTGATCTCTACCAAAAGAACTTGAACTCTACAAATCTAATGATGTAAAGATTACACGCAACGGAATTATTGCCTTTTCAGATAAATCAACATACAAATTTTGAAGGGAATGATCAAATAGGCCAGAGAGAGACTCTGTTAGTAAAGCAAAAAACAACTCTCTCATACACCCCCTCTGAAAGAATAACAAAAAAAATAAAAGAATTGGAAACAGCTTTGCCATAATACATCCTTACTACTTCCTGTTTCCTGCTTTTCGCTTAATTTCAGTTGGCATGGCATGCCTCCCATTCCGCTGAGGTGTATGGCCAATTCCATTTATCTTTCGTGATGGTGAAGGCCCTACTTTGTTCCTGCAACAATCAGTTAAATGAAATGTTAAAGATGAAATGAGCCAGAATCGAGTAGAACAAATATGGAGGATGCTTATAACCGACACCCTTACTAGTTTGGAGATTGAAATGTAGTTGATTGATTGATCAACTCTTCAAGTGTTTATAAATAGGTGAATGAACGAGAGACTACCTTGTTTCTGGGCTCTTTGCATGCTTTGGATTTGATCTCTGGATCCTTGACTCATTCCCATTGGTCAAACTGTTTAGTTTGGAATTATTGAATTGCCAAAGTAAATCTGGATCAGACGAATCACTGGTCGTGGCATCAAATTCTTCCAGCTCATCAGCAGGAGTGATGTCAAAGTGGTCACCCAATGGGATAAGCTTACTTGATTTTTCTTGGCATAATTTAGATGATTCTGAAAGATATTTCTGAGCAAAGGCATCAGACATGCCATTTTCAGATTCCCAATATCCAAAGGGCTTCCCCACTCCATGGATAGTGTCCTGTTTGTTCACCATTACTTTGTCTATCCACTCACCTGTGCCCATGTCTTTATCATATCCCACGTAGTTTTCACATGGACCATTGACTGGTGGCCATGGAGGGGAATTTCCTAGTAACTCATCAAGATCATAGCTTGGCTTCTTTTGTCTGAATGCAGAATTACTGGATATCTGCACATTAGTAGATGTCAAAGCAAGGTCTTGCAGATTACAACCACATGCATCAAAATGGATGCTGATAAGAAACTTCTATAACATTTTCGTACTTTTAAGTGGGAGAGGCAGGTAGTTAGTCTCCACTTCTCTTCTTCTCCTTATTTAGTCGTATTAGTTAGTATTCACGTAATATCTTATTCTTCATCTGCTCTGTTTAATTTGCTATGTTGCTATATTTTCCTTTCAATCCTGACCTTGATTACACTTATTTTGAGCCGAGGGTCTATCAGAAACAACCTCGCTACCTCACAAAGATAGGTGTAAGGTCTGCATAAATTCTACCCTCCCCAGACCCCACTTGTGGGACTACACTGGGTATGTTGTTGTAAGAAACTTCACTAATGCTATCTTGTGCTCTAGTTTTGGTATAAGCTTATTCAAGTTTAGTGCTCTTCCAAGTATTGCTGCATCTATTTATTGTTTGAGCTAAAACACCACTAAACACTAAAAAACTTTGATAAATTATTCTTCAATAGAAGAGTTTGTATTGTGTAATAAATAATTGCACTTTGAGAGATAATCAAGTCTAGAGACTCTACCTCTATGTTGCCTACATCGTCCATTGGTCTCCTCTGGACATTTGAGTCGCCTAGAATTTCTCTTTTCAGTGGGTTAAATTGAATGGGTGATGGCTGCATGCCACGTGGACTGCTCATTACCTTATGCTGCATGGGAACCGACTCCTCTTCCTTTTTTGCTAGTGCTGCTTTCAAAGTTGCAATCTGATAAAACAAAGATATTGTCCTTCAGAACAAATCAATCTATACTAGGAATACTTTTTATACTGGAAAGAAAAAGCAATTAAAAGGAAAAAAAGAAGAAAAGAAAACCTGTTCTTTGAGCTCTTTGACATCTGTAGAGTCTTTATTTACTCGTGCAGCGCCTAGTTCAACAGTAGAAACACGTTCTGCAAATTTAAGTGTGCTAATTGTTTCTCCTACTGCTTCAGGCTCAGGGCTTATGTGAACGAACATCAAAGTTTTGGCTTGCCCTCCTACAAAAAAGTCATATACCAAAAACCAATCATTACTAGAAAGAAAGAAAAGTCACAAGAACAATCGAGTTTCATCATTTAACTTATATCCTACCAAGTGAGTCTTGAAGAAGCTGTGTAAGTTTGCTGTTACGGTATGGGACATGTGCATTCTTTTGGGCAAGAGCAGAGATAACATCACCCAAAGCTGAAAGAGACTTGTTAATGTGCTGAGCCTCTTTAAGTCTATCTCCTGTTACTTCAGATTTGTTCACTCTCTCACTTCCTGCAAGATCAACCAAATGCATACAACCACGAAGAATAGCTCCAGAAGCCACGTCTCTTCCCTGAACATGAACTGTTAGGCAACTGCACATTCAAGACCAGAAAGAATTAGCATCTCCACTATAAGTTTCTTACAAAGCACTAGAAAGTAAATTAAGAGAAAGAAAAGATTCTACATTCAGACCTGTGGGAGCGGCTACTGCGGTCGTTGAGCGCTGTTGCACCCACTGAACGATTCTTTTGCCCTAAATTCATCAGATCAATAACATCACAAGTTGAAGCTACACGAACCAAGCTTGCATCTGGTACAGTTAGTCCTTGAGAAGCACTACGGATTTCTAACGTAATTTTGGGTTAAGGAATGCAGGAAGTTTAAGGCTTTAAGCACGAGGGTTGAGAATGAACATGTTGTGTAAGAACACATAACTTAAAGTCATTTAAAAGTTCTAATATAAGAATGTTTGTTGCCAAACATTCAATATGGACAGAAGAAGAATAGTAAAAGATCATTAAAATGTAAATGACAAGATATTGAGAAGGATATCTTTTGTTTACACCATCAGAAACGAGGAGATCCCTAACTTGCTCATTGTATATCTCAATCATCTGTACAGACACATCATAGTGGACGATGTCCTTTCTTTGTTCTGTGAGAAGGAATAGATCACCCAAGGCCCTGTAGTTTACTCCTTGACTTTGTTCTGTGAGATTGTTAGGTCCCGTCTGAATACAGCAAAGGAGCTTCTTAGCACATACAACAGAAAGAATAAGATTTTACTTGTGATGGAGATACTTTTCTTTAACTAACCATTGTGTAGGTTTTTCCTGATCCTGTTTGGCCATAAGCAAAAATGCAGACATTAAAGCCATCAAGAACTGATCTTATCAGTGGTTGCGTATCAGAAAATACTTCGCCTGCCAAAAAAAGTAAGTGGAAACCACTGAAGAAAGCTGAGGGGTCACAGAATTAAAAGTAAAGATTCCAATCTTTATAAAAGTTAAGCATTAATACCATTTTACCAACATTATATGCTCTTTTATATTTGACATTTACCTTGAGTTGAGCAAGATCCAAATACTTTATTGAAGTTGAAAGACTTCCGCCCTCTGCCATTCTTTGATGGAATACTAATTGTGATGGTACCATCTTCTATGTGATCCACAGAACTAGCA